TGAGTATCCAACACGAACGTTCACATGCTTAAAACATTTAAGATCCGGATTTCTATTCTGTGCACCCTGGAACTAATCTTATGGTAAAACAACAAATGGAGTGTTCTTGTGTCCCGTGCATCCTTGAGTATCAAAAAATAGGTAGCCGCACTCAATGGGAATGTGATAAGTAGCGATGCTTTGTATGGGATGGACTGTGTTAGAGAAGCGCAAAGACCCTGCTTTTGTCTCGACAATCCCTCTGGGTCTCGGTTCTCCATGACACCTCATCGAATCCCTCTTTGTCGTCGATGTTGAATATTCTAGAGACCTCAAATGGAGTTTGGCTTCCTCCTTTACTTGCTACATTGGAGTGTTAGCAAAGTAGATGTTATAAAAGTATCTCAATATTTAAGCGTTAGCGATAGGATTTTATCTAAATGTCAAAAAAAATGAAACACAAATTTCAAAACTTCATTACTTGATGGTGGCTCAAATTAATGGGCGCAAACCCTACTTTTTCAAGTTGGTAGAACTATGAAAGCTCCCACATACGATAACAAACACGTCAGCCGCACCTCAATGGACTGAAAAGGACCCCAAAACAGGAAAAATATAAACTTTGTAGGCGATTGGTTTATACATATTAAGGCATATTTCTGCTACGTGCCGACTGAGCCCAATTGAGTGGGCCTCTGAGAGACGTGGCGTTGTTTGTCGGGGGTCTGCGTGTCCGAAGAGGGTGAAGTGGTTCTCGCCGGTGGGGCAAGCCCACGAGTGACAGAGGTTCCCTCGTCCGTCATAAACCAACTTATGAGTGATGGGAAGTTTGACGTCTGTTTTTCCTCCTAGACATTAATCTTTTTAAATAATTTCTTTGATAAAATTCATTTGAATTTTTCAATAAAAAATTATTGTGGGAATTTAATTTAATTCTAAATTCAAATTTTGGATTCCTGAGTAGTTTTCTAAAGTTTGTAAATATGAGAATTTAATTTGATTCTAAATTCAAATTTTGGATTCCTGTGTGATTTCTTAAAATTTATACCTCTTCATTTATTTATTAAACTATTCTTTAATATATATATATATATATATTTCAAATAGTTTAAATAATTAAAGTTTCAACAGGTTGTTACTGTTATATCTTTTATGACAAAACTATTTTAATAGTTTAAATAATAATATATTTCCAACAGGTTTTAACTTGGTCTCCAACGGTACTTTTCAAAGTTTGAAAAATATTTTCTAGCATCGGTCAAATAGTACCTGTTCGGATTCTTTAGTACCTGTTCGGGTCATATATTTTGGCTATATATATATAGCCTTTTTTCTAGCAGTCCGTATCAGAGGGAAAAAAAAATCCGTCTGTTTATTTTGCATTTGCTGTCCAGAATTTTTCCTTTGTATTTTATTCCTCATTCTAGTTTTAGAATAAATATTGAGAGAGTTAGAACACAGGTTTGGTTCGTCGAACAAATTTGTTTGAAGTGCTTCCACAAATTTGTGAAGATCATTGTATCCTGGGAGATAGACGCCACTCAACCGTAAGCACCGTAGCGGGGCGAATCTGTCTTAAAGACAGAGTGTCACACACTCGACTTGGTCTTAATTTATAATTCGGTTCGATAAATAAATCCGGTATGTTATTTATTTATTTTATTTGAATTTATTTCAAGTTATTTTATATACACAGAAGATTGTTCCAACAATCTTAAGACAGACCCGAATTATTCTGTTTACAAAATTTTTCGTTTGTTTCCCTTTTTCATTCTTTGTAAATAATTTCGGAAGAAAATTATTTTCTATGAATTTACAAAATAATATTCTGGTTGGAAAAACAAATAGTGATTATATGCTATTTGACAGATAGTAGTAATATACTGTCTCTTTTCTTTGACAACTAGTAGTACGATACTGGTGTCAGTAACAATTCAGAATATATTTTTGTGGAAATTTGTCAGGAAATTAATTTTGATTTTTTAGAAATTATTTTCTGAGTTTTCATTAATTAAAATTCTGTTTTTCAGTATTTTAATTATTGAGGTGTTACTGAAATTAATTTTCTGTGTGGAATTAATTTGGTTAAATAAAATTTTATTTTATTTCCTAATTAATTGAAAAAATAAAAGTTATTTTCTTATTTATTTTATTTTACAGAATTTAATTTTCTGTGTGAAATTAATTTGTTTAAATAAAATTTTATTTTATTTTCAAATTAATTGGAAAATAAAAGTTATATTCTTGTTTCTTTTATTTTTACAGAATTTAATTCTGTGAATTTGGTTTAATTTTCTGTGTAGTGTAAATTCTAATTATAATTTTGTTTTATATATTAGAATTGATGGCTATTGAAATTAATGCCCAGACAAGTACTACTGTAGTGGGTGCAATGATGCCAACCCCCTCTCCTGTTGTAACAGTACCGGTAAATTACGGTGAAAAGCCAGAGAAGTTCTTAGGAACTGACTTTAAAAGATGGCAACATAAAATGTTGTTCTATCTTACAACTTTGAACCTGGCTCGTTTCCTCCGTGAAGATGCTCCTATCCTGAAAGAGGATGAAACTGACCGACAAGTGGTTCCTGCGGTTGATGCCTGGAAACATGCCGATTTCCTTTGCCGGAATTACATCTTGAATGGACTTGACAACACATTATACAACGTCTACAATCCTATCAAGACAGCAAAGGAACTTTGGGAGTCTTTGGAGAAAAAGTACAAAATGGAAGATACCGGCTCAAAGAAATTTGTGGTTGGCAGATTCTTGGATTTTATAATGGTTGATTCAAAAACTGTGATCAGCCAAGCTCAAGATTTCCAACTCATTCTGCATGACATTCACGCAGAAGACATGTCTCTCAGTGAATCATTCCAAGTTGCAACCTTAATTGAAAAATTACCAAAAAGCTGGAAG